GCTCTTTCTCTGAAGTGCATGTGTAAAGAGAGTTATATTTAACAACAGTTGTAAATGGTGATGTGGGGAATCATCTGTTTCCTGACAGGCTCTTCAGACTCAGCGGCGGTCAAAGGCCATGTCAAAATGTTCAGCTGTCATCAATTCCAGCACTGGATTCAGCCATGTTCTCATTATCGGATCAGGTTGCAGCCATAATGTTATAAAATGAGACTAAAATGCACTAACAACACTACCTAACATTCACTAGGTAGCATACACTGTCTGTGTTGTCCTACAGGAATAAATCTCGATCCTTAAAAAACATAGACATTTATCTTAAAATTTAACAAAAAAAAAATTAGTTGTGCCATGCAAATAGTGCTGACTTCTTTAAATAAGGTTTAATCTATAATAAATCTCATGCACACAGAGATTATTTACTCTGTAAAGAATGACATTAATTTAATTTAAATACTCATGGCACTGTGCCAATATGAGATTAAACAGGATTTGGTAATAATAAACAGTTTTTGCACTGAAATAACACGTGTCTAATATTTAGTGAATTCACCCTTGATGTTTTGAGTACAGCTTATATGGGTAGCTTTCTGATAGCCTATAACTATAAAATATTATTTTCCCCGTACTTGCGTAAGAGTGGGCGGCTGGGCGCGCCATTTGTAAATTGAATGGGTCTGGCTTCCGGTTTCATTTGCTCCCAGCTATTTCTTAGCTGTACAAAACAGCTCGTTTTGTTGCTTGCTATTGCAAACTGGTGTGTCTTACCATATTATTTTAATTTATTATCTTAATTATGAACACACTAGTTTGTAGTGCATACAGTTTTACCGTTTACTGCACTTTGTTATTCTTCTCGTTAACTTGTTTCCTTGCAGCGGCTAATGAACCGGAAGTCTCACACATTCACAGAAATCGGCTTACTTCCACGTTGAAAATAAGGTGGACAGCTTTGCAATCCAGTAACCTCTTTAGCTAGGATATAGGGCTAACGTTACCTAGATTTAAGTGCACAGTAAAACTGAAATTTACCTCCTGCTATATTACGGCTTTTCACCCTGCGGGTTATCGTGGTTATCGTCGTTCTTCTTCACCCCATTTTTTTTACATCAGCACCGCTTTTTACCTCTTTTTGGACTATTTGGACTATTTCGTGTAGACTACAGTTTGAAACAATGCTGTGTTAAAATATTACAGCTATGTCACGCAATCGCGTGACTCCTTTTCAAGTATTTTAAAACGGCAGGAAAATGCTTCAATGTATAATTTGTTGCCCTTGGTCCAGACCATGAGCTGATTTTGAACCACAGATGTGAAAGCAGCACCCTTAGATAGTAACGGAAACAACACGCGTTTATAAGCGTTTGAGGGGGAAATGTAAAATGGTGACAGAAAACAGGTTAATTGGAGTGAAGACTGTTTTATTCTTACCTTTAAAGTCCGAAAAGTGCACTTAAGGAAAACTTGATAATGCAGACAGCAATATATAGAATATGAAAATGAGCTAATTCAGAGCCGCCGCCGCGTGTAGTCAGATCACGTGCAGCGTTTGTCCAATCGCAAATAATAACGTTAACCCATTGGTTTTGAATGTACAAAGTGAAACGTAAGCTTATGAATACCTATTACAGGTTTTATCAGATTTGAAATAGTTAACCATGGGTCATTCTAAACCTGGGCTTAACAATGAATTAATTCATTCATTCATTGTTAATTAATTAATTAATTAATTAATTAACAATGAATGAATGAATTAATTCATTGTTAAGCCCAGGTTTAGAATGACCCATGGTTAACTATTTCAAATCTGATAAAACCTGTTGTCTATTTAATTGTGGGTGATGAAACTGGATAATGTACAAATGTACTTTAATATGCCATCACGAATTACACTTATCCATTTAATTAAATCATTTCCTGCCCCAAACTGATTTTATTTGTATTTCTTATAAATGTTTTATGACAGCTTAGATAAGCAGCTGATTTTCTACATTTGGAACAGACTTAATAGGTCCAACGGTTAAATGCCATCTTTAAACACAAGGCAATGCTATTACTGCTGGTTAAGTTAGAAAAAAAAAGATAAAGTGTAAGAGATAACATCCAAAGCATCAAATAAAATTATGCATTTATATTCAGATTAACGTTCAAGATGAAGGTGCCACCTTACAATGCTCCTCTTGACCTCTGTTGATGTTCTCACTCAGGTCCTGCTGGTCTGGTGTGCGCTGAGACTCTGAGGCAGGAGGGTTTCACTGACCGTATAGTCATGTGCACCATGGACACACATCTGCCTTATGACAGGCCTAAACTGAGTAAGGTTTGTACACAGAACAGTCTATAGAACAGTGTGGGAACAAAGTTTTACAATATGAAATGAATATAAGACTGCTTTTCCAACAGAAGATTTTAGTTTGACCGCACATGTGCTAAAATTCAGCAAATATGACATTGATTTGATGCCCATCCCTCTTTTTTCAGTGTTTAGAGAGCACAGCTGAGCAGCTTCAGCTGCGCTCATCTGACTTCTTTCAAACGCACGACATAGAGATACTATTAGAGAAAGAGGTGAGAACACTTAACCTGAAATGTACTATGGTTTTCTTTAATTACTGAGGAAAAACACTTATAAATGTGATTCTGTGTCTTTTAACTATTACAAAGTACTCTGTGGCGGTACCATAATACAGTGATCCGATGGAAATACTATGGTATTTTGAAACAGCTCCCAAGTATTCTATGATATTTTTTTGGTACCGTTACTGAAATTAACACATTTCATTACACCAAATACACAAAATAATGTTCTTTTTAGCAGCATCATATGAACCCTTTAAATAATTGATGTCTAAATCTGTAATTTTTACAAATTAATATGCAGAATTACATAAATTGCCATATGTTTCTTCACAGGTTGTCTCTGTGGATGTGAAGACACGGACTGTGACATTTCGGGATGGTTTTAAAATGGAGTATCGAAAACTCTTCATTGCCACAGGGAGCAGGTAAACATGTCTACAGCTACCAAATGATCCTGCATTCAAAAGTTTAGATTTAATTTTATTTTTTAAAGAAATTAATACTTTTATCCAGCAAGGGTGCGTTACATTGATCAAAACACTGAACAAAAATACACTGATGCAAAAAAAATCAGTTTCAAATAAATGCTGCTCTTTTGAACTTTTTAGAGTCATTTAAAAACCTTTCTCAGTTTCTGCAAAAATAATATACTATAATAATAAGTATTAATAAAATAATACTTCTGTTGTTGTTGCTTTTTATTAATAAGTTTTATCTTTACAGACCCAAACCTCTGAGCTACAAAGGCAAAGATGTGGGAAACGTGTTTCACCTCAGAACACCAGAAGATGCGAACAGCATCGCAACACTCGCCAGCAGTAAGAATGCTGTCATAGTTGGAACCTCATTTATTGGTAAGAGCTTATGTGAAATTTACATACTGTATGTATTCTCTGTGTAGTTAATTAATAGCTCCAAAAAGTGTTAAAGGAGACATATTATGCCCCTTTTTACAATAAGTAATATAAGTCTCTGGTGTCCCCAGAATGTGTCTGTGAAGTTTCAGCTCAAAATACCCCACAGATAATTTATTATATCATTTTGAAAATGCCCATTTTGAGTGGAAGCAGAAACAGGCTGTTTTTCGTGCCTGTCTCTTTAAATGCAAATGAGCTGCTGCTCCACGCCCCCTTTTCCAGAATAGAGCTGCGCCATTACAGCTCG